AAAGAGCATTTCTCTTAGACTTGCTTTAAAAACATTCAGAGGAATACAATTTCAATTTTTGCTGTAGACTGTTCCAAGCAAGTGGCGCTGCGATCATAAAAGCTGTGTTACCTAAGACAGTCCTTGCTCTTGGCACATCTAACAATACTACATCATGCGATCTCAGACAATAGCTGCTTGCAACTCTCTGTGTTATCAGAGAGCAGATATAATACGGGAGTTTACCCAACAAAGCTTTATAAATAAACGTGTACCAATGGCTGAGCCTCCGTACAGTAAGTGATGGCAAACCTGCCTTGGCATACAGGGTACAGTGATGTGTGAGTGCAGATCATTTTGGTGATAAAACTATAGCTGACACTGTGACCACATTAGCATTCTGTAGAAGTAAGCACATTTCGGGGCTCATGAATNGACGAGAGGAATCGTCGCTAGACAATCGTTGTTAAATTGTTTGAGATTTTACAAGGTTATACTGGTTAGTCTTATCTCATAAGTTTATTTGACCACAAGTGTTAAATCCAACTCAGACCGAAAGCCATCTATCTTTTTTATAAAAAGGCAGGCGAAGTTCGTGTGATGAGTTCACGGTAGCTAGGCAGTGAATTTTCTATGACTGTCGATATTCTAACTATATAGGTTTAGAGTCTTTGATGTTATTAGAACTAAGTTTTGTCGTGGTGTCCAATCTCCCGTTAATATTACAAAAACATAAAAGGCCATTTGACAGGGAAACTCATTTAATAAATCGAGTTTTATTAGGGCAGTTGGAAAGAGGGAGTAGTGCATACCTTCCGGTCGAAAAGTGGCCAAGTGATACATCGGACGTAATTTGCTTTCTCCAGCTGTACTCTCTGAGGAGTGGTACGGCGGGCGACGAGCAGTTTGGGGGCGTGGCAGAGACGGTGGCAGCCAATTTCGAGGTTTCAATTACTCTCCTCTTTCCAATCGTTCCTCCTTATAGGTGGTAACTGTTGGGAGACGTGAGTAAATACAGGGAGGTAGACAGAGGAGATAAAATGAGAAAAAAAATAAAAAAGAAGGGTCCGTTGTCCCGAACTCTAGGTTGTCCAAAATATACAGAGGACGAGATGGAAAGGTGGAGAGAAAGAGAAAAAAAGGGAGTGATGAGAGAACGGGGTCAGTCAGTCCTTTTACTCAACAACACACGTCAAGACAGAGCACACGTAGGTTTCTCTCTTTGTGATGTAAATGTATGTAACGTAAATCGATGCGAAAATAGGTTTTCACTAATGTCATTCATGGTAAGCTAAGTTCTTCTATGGGGTATTGAACTTCTTTTGTCTTAGTATATTCATGTAGTCCAAATCTATTCGTCAGGAAATAATCATCATATTCACGAGACAATCGTTAAGAAACAAGCATTGAGATAGCGAGCTATCACCTCAGCTTTCTCTACCAACCTCTGTCTACCTATCTGTCTGACATGTCTCTCTCTCTTCTCTAATGTAGGTCGAGATACTTATTTTCACAAGTGGAACACGAAGCGACGATATTCGGTTGGGTCAAGAGTGGCGTAAAGCACAATATCAATGGCTGTAAATTAGATAACTAAGCACAAGTGGTTGTACCTAAAAGGGGAAAAAAGCACAGTGTGTCTTGCTAAAATTTTGCGTTACATAAAGATAACCATCGAGACAAAGCACGGACGTTGTGCGAAAAACAGGCAGGCCCAGAAACCTTCTGAAGTAAACAATAAGAATAGCTTATTGTGTTGACAATAATGAGTGGTTATTGTGTGTAATAGGAACAAAAATAAATGAACAAAGTAAGGTAGTAGAGACCGAAAAAACGCAGGCAAGTCCTTGACTTAAAGTTTTATTTTATTGTCCCTTTGTCTGCATCCCGGATATTCCCTGTAAAAGGAGGATCAAGGGACTTAGTGCAATCAAATCAATCCGCAGCAAGAAGTACGGTTAATTCAACTTCTGCTGGGAACAGCAGAAGAAGACAAACAGGAAGTGAACAGGAACAAGGTATGGGCTCTGGCAGTAATTAAAGAATGAGGCTGCATCTCACTTTGGTTCAATGAAATCCTTGCGTCCCTCATTAGCGTCGTTTCCCTGCGTTTAGTCCCTCCCACCAGGGAAGCATGGAGAGACGCAAAGAAACCACGAGAAACAGGGAAATTAGTTTTAAGAGCAATGGGACGTCCTTTTCTCCGGAGCGTTACGTGAAGCTGTCCGTGCACAGCTGTTCGTCTGACAGGAGCCAGCTCCGTCCCCGTTATTTTCACAAACACCTCCGCCTCTGTTAGTACACATTTACTGACACACACATTTGTATCATCTGTTGTAGACCCAAATACATTAAATCAAATAAGAACTCATTCTCAAAAAAGATAAACGCCATTCTTAAAATGTATAAACGAACAATAGTTTGATTAATATTGGTTAGAGTGCACAATAGAAATAAAATAATTGAGAGAAGAAAAAGAGATATGTTATCTATCAAAACCTAGTTAGATTAACATTCATTGGATTGCACACTTTGTTTGTTGGTTTGGATATGTAGCAAATTAACATTTTTACTGCACTTAATGACTGACTGAATGGAAATGATAATAAATGAAAATGTAAAACGAAAAAAACGATCATGAAAATGTTTCCAATAAATGAATAAAATAATTTTTGACCACTTTGTTGTTCAGATATATCACATATTTGTAACTAAATGATACATTAATTGAAACAAAACACCTTATAAACTGAAGAGTGAGTCCCGTGAGTTTCATGTGTTTTCTTCACTCCGCTTTTAAATTGCTCTCATGTCAAGAAGCAACAGATCAGTGCATGCGCTGCATCGTCCAATCAGTGAGCGATACACAGTAAGGGGGCGGGGCGAGTGTCTGAGGATTACACCGGAGGATGGTCTGGTAGTTCCTCGATTATCGCTCCTCCGTTATCGCTCCTCGATCCTCAGTCCTCCGGCACCAATAAGGCCACTGGGACGTTACTCAAGATGGCGCAGACAAATCAACTTTGTTGACCGAGGAGCGAGGAGCGAGGAAATGAAAAATAACCGAAGTGAGACGAAGCCCGGGTAATGGAAAAAAATGTCATTCAAAAGCCTTTGACAAGATTGCAAGGTGTAATAAGTACCATGATGTATTAAAGTGATTTGATCCTAATATGGTTACGTTAACTCAATTTGAAAGGGGGAGACTACATTGATAAAGTCTTGTTGGGAGTATTGAGAACCTCATAGACACAGCCACTAAACATATTATTAATGTAAATAATATATATGTTTGTTTTTGGTTTTGTATGTTTTTTGGTTTATCTACATATACATTTGAACATTCTTCGGGCGGTTAAAGTCAAAGTTAACTTTAGCTTTATTTAAGTAGAAAAAGAAACCAGAAGAAAAGGCTGTGTTTGTTTGTGATATTGTAAAAGTTTCTGGTAAAATGTGTTCCCTGACAGTTTAAGAAAATGAAGGCAGTAAATACAAAATAAGAAGCCAACACAGAATAAAAAAAGGGATCTCGGAGAAAGCTCCCCCTAGACCCACCAGTAGTAAATTATCCGTGTTGTCCCCCATCTTTTTCGTTTTCCACCAAGCAGCCAGCATTCCTCTGGGTTTAAAACTCATTTTCATCTCTCTTGTAAGCTCTGCGTTTTTACATATTTGTTCTAAATCCTATTATGAGGGCTTTGTGATATGAATAACGCTTGCAAATTGGAAAGTATCTCGAGGCAAAAAGTTGGACACAGAGGTAATCTTCACAATCTAATCTCCCGAAGCACAGGAACACTTTCTGATGAAGTTTATAGGAAAACATGAACCAGTTTTTAGAAAAAAGAAAATCTCAATGAAATAAGGAGCATACAAATGACCACACACATGCACAGGCCCGGGGAGCATCGGATAACATTTACATTATTACATAATCAGGATATAAAAAAGGTAAATGTATTTCCTTACAGTTACATAAAAGTCCTATCGTGCTTTTTGTGGTTTTCCCTTCCCTGTAGTGTGTTATATAGGTTTGTGTGCATGTAAATGCTCTGCAAAGGCTAACATCCCTCCCTTTATATGTGTCACACTCCTAGGCTCATGTCACGTTGGTAGTTTTGTATGTTTAGGTTATGTCACGTTCTATGTCTAGGTTTGGGTGTTTTGCTGTTTTCCCTGTCATGTTTTCCACCTGTTTATTGTCTGGTCCTTTTCCCTGTGTTTTTCTCCTGTCGTTAGTTTCCCTGGTGTGTCTAATTGTCTGATTATGTTCACCTGTGGCCCCTGTGTTTCCTCCTCCCTCCTCACCTGTGTCTTGTTGTGTGATTAGTCTTTTGTGTATTTACAGTAAGTTCTGGTTTTTCTGTCTGTCTTTGTCGGTTCGTCTTTTGCCTTGACTAGTTCTGAGGTGAGTGTTCTGTTTTGTCTTTGCTTATATCATAGCCTTGAAATAAAGGAGTTTTTTCAGTTTATATCTGCATTTGGGTCCTGCTTCCTTCACAATCCGTAACAATATGCATTTCTATTGTATTCAATTTGGTATTAATCTCAAGGTAAGGTGATCCAAAAGTACCATAAAGTAATCAGGATACATTACTTTTATATCGTGGTACTTAAATAGGATAACAAATATTTTACAGTAAACTATTAAATGTAACGAAGCTTGCCGGCGGGCGTGTCTGAAACTCGACCAACAACCAATCACATGAATTCCCCGCCCCGGACACACAAGCACACGGTTTGATTGGCTAGAGATTGTACTGGCATATGATTTGATTGGCTGACGCTTCCGCCGAAGCGTAAAAAGTTGAACATTGTTCAACTTTTGAAGCGAGCAAAGCGAAGCAACGCTCCCACAATGCAGTTCTGCAAAGCGTGACGTCACCCCATTCAAAGTGAATGGGCAGAAGCGTTGAAGCTTCAAGGCACGCCGCCGTGTGGACGGGCCGTAACAGATTATATTTTTAAAGTAACCCTCCCAACCCTGGACATGCTTAGAAGCCTTCCCCTCTCTATCCTACCTGTTTGTTCTGAATCATGCCGAGTCATTTGGGATGTGTGCGGCGGGTCACAGTGTGTGTGTTCTTGCGTGTCTGAGTGACCAGAATTCATGTCCAAACCCTGAGGCTGAAACCCATCCGGATCACAGAGCCGCTCTGATCCCGGCTCAGCGCTGTGGTTGTGGTTCACCTGAGGGGATATGAAAACAGATGGAGGCATGCAGGAGAAGGAGGGATGGAACGAAGAGGGGGAAAAAAAAGGGAATAAGTGAAGGGAGTGAGGTGGAAAAACAGATCACAGGAGGATTAGAGTGAGATGGAGAGATGATATAAAAAGAGATTATGGAGGACAGGTAGGAGGGGTGTAAAACAGAGAGGACAGGGGAATTAGGAATTAATAGTTTGGTCTTCACTTTCCTAACACAATCAGTCCAAAGGACAAACAGGAACTCAATATCAATTTAACTTTTATTAAGACAGGTAAGAGTGTTAAAATGTGTGTTTTTCCATTTTCTACTGCATATTAATAAGGAGGTGTCTTTCACTGGAGATATTTCCTCTCTCTCCCTGTTTCCTTTGTTTCCACTTGATGAATTGATTTTTAATTAACCCCTGGAGCCGCTGAGAGCATCTCACAGCGGCGTGGTGGGTTAGTTTTTCCTTCCAAGTGTCCTCCTGTGAGACTGGGGAGGGGGGGGGGGAGTAAAAGGAGGAAGCTCTGTTTAGTTAAGATTAGATCTGATGCTTTAGCATGCTAGCCGGAGCATTCAGGAGACCATGCAGATGGGCCGGGAGAAAATAGAAAGCGAGGCATGTGGGAATAATGTCGCTGAGAAAAGAGGAAGGAGCGAGGATGTGGAATGACAAGAAGAGAGAAAGAAAGAAAAAGGAGAGGCATTGCCAATGACATGGCAAGAGACACAACACAATGGGAGTGTGTGGCGGGGGGAAATGGAGTTGTGTTTGTGCAATGTCTAACAAAAAGGATGCAGCTGAAAAAATAGACCAAAGGAAAGAAAGTATGCATATAGGACAATAGAGGAGCAGTGACCGGGTCCAAAAGGAAACGCTAAAGAAAATGACTATCTAATCATTTTATGAGCAGTTTGATTCAGGTCCAGAGGCCACAGATAACCACCATCTTCACAATCACGAACCTCATTTGCTCCATCTTTTTAACAAAGCACTACCCCCCCTTTATTTTGTCTCCTTCCCCTGTCACAGTATAAAGGATTCATACCATTAAATAGCTGATAGGTCATTTGGGACCATTCAGGCGGTGTCTTTTGAATCCACTCTCTTTTCTTCCCTCAATGGGGTGCACCTTTAACACCACTGCCTGGCGTGTCTCTGAGCTACAGATGAATAATGTAAAGTAATTAGCGTGATACAAATGTTATCTAATAGATCAGGTCAGCTACAATAAGACACTCTGACTGTATGCTCCTGAGTGATTATGTCCGGCAAAATGATTCTCTAAAACTTCTAAAAACTTGCCAATTTATCAAATGTATTACCCGGCTGGAAAGACAAACTTTAACATTAAAAAATATATATTGAAATAACTATTAAAACCTTTTGGGGTTATTCATTCGTTAGCAATTCGATATTTTTCCCTCACTGTAATAACAATTATAATTAGTATCAAGTCAAGGAGTTTGCGTGCCCTTATTTAATTTAAGTCATTCTATTTGTATGCAATAAAACGTTGCGTATCTAAAAACAAATGTGTGTTCGTGATATGAATCAAGAACAAGTTGCTGTGAGTGAAAAATATCTTATTAAAAATGATGAAGGGGTGTCATTATTAATGTCATGCTTTCTTATATTTCCCCTTGGTACTATTTTCTTTTTGCATGTTCATTGAAAGAGGTCCTCTTATGCTGTTTGGGGTGTTCCCTTTCTTCTAGTGTGACACATTGGTTTCTGTGCATGTAAATGGTCTGCAGAGGTTAAAATCCCTTTGTTCCTGTCACGATTATCATGTTATGTCACGGTTGTAGTTTTGTATGTCTGGTTATGGGTGTTTTTCTCATTGTATATTGTCTGGTCATTCTTCCTGTGTTCAGTGTTGATTCGTCTTTTGTTGGTGACTGAGTTCACCGGTGAGTGTTCTGTTTTGTCCGAGTTATTTTCATTATCCTTGAAATAAAGGTTAATCAGAGTTATCTGCATTTGGGTCCTGCTTCCTTCACTCAACCGTAACAGTTCCATCCAGAGGCCCTTTCTCTCCTTCCATGTAAACCAACCCAGTCTCACGGCATTTCGTGTTATAGTCAGGAAATTAATTTAATCTATTGATTCGTGTTCACCAACACGATTTTCGCATTTTTTTCGTGTCACACAGAACGATTTTAAAAGCAATGTATTTCTATTGATAGTGTGTTTCGTGCTTGCACCACGTGTTTTTGTCCGGTCGGGTCTTGGAAGACCGGAAGCTGTGTGGCTCATAAAAACATGTTCTTACTCAATATCTCACCCTAAGCCTAACCCTAACCCTTTTATTTTAAATTGTATAACGTCTGAGTTTTTTTGCCGTCCGCGAACAAAAGAAATGGCTCAGAGCCTCAGAATACTGAGATCTGTTGTTAGAAATTAAAATCAATGTTGATATGGCGTAATTTGAATTAAATACACTATTTGATTTAAATCAGTTTTATTCTGAAAAACCGGAAGTTCTCACTATTGGCTTAACACTTTTATTCTGAAAATTCGTCACTTCCGGTTAGTATTTAGCATCTGGCGGAATCATACGATTTCAAACCTTGAACCAAGGTGAAATGACATGTGATGTTGTACACTGAGCACACTGGGATTAGCACTCATTTATTGACGCTGAATAATGTGTAGCAGGGAATGTTTAAATAACCACAGACGCCAGAATGATGCAATTTAGCTACAGAAAAAGGCAGGAATTGCATTGGACCCGCCCCCCGACGACGCCGGCCAATAGGAGAAGANCACGCACGCACGCACACACACACACACACACACACACACACACACACACACACACACACACACACACACACACACACACACACACACACTCTTCCAAGTGCGCATACAAAGTGTGTTCTTTGCAACAGAAAAAACGTGCTCCCTAGTGTGAACGTGCATGTACGAGAAAGAAGCATGTACAGTGAATATGAATGTGTGTCTGCTGTATACCAATGGGAAATGTACGGCCATTCTTTACAAAGTAATTATCTCCGTCTGATGAAGTATTATGATATGTGTTATTTAAAGCAATGATCGATATTAAGAATGAAAAAGTGCAAATAGGCCATTTGGCTTCTGGATTAAATGGCAAGATTTAGCAAGAGAAAATCATAATAGCTATTCAGTATAATTTACTAACGTCTAGGGATGCATACCGGTATCCGGTATTACCGAAATAGCGGTTACTGGTGGCTACGGTATACCGTACCGAAATCAGATCCGGTTTTGATTAAAAATTTTTTATTTATTTTATTTTAAAAGTGAGTCCGTGATGGCGGGTGTTATAAATTAGAGATTGCATAATCGTTTTTCTTCATATTCTATGTATTTTTCATTGTTTGTTCAATACTAGAAAGGTAAAAGTCCCACAAATGAACTGTGATGGGATTTGTTTTCTCTCACCAGTGAAGGCAAATGTTGATTTTAAAGATGAGATTTGTTTGTTTGTGCAATGCCGAGATCTCATGACCTTTATTCT